GTTGCCGGAGGCAACCGCCAGAATTAAAAATTATTTTTTGAGGAAACCGGAACGCGTTGCAGAAAACGCGTTGCCGGAGGCAACCGCCAGATTAAAAATTATTTTTTGAGGAAACCGGAACGCGTTGCAGAAAACGCGTTGCCGGAGGCAACCGCCAGAATTAAAAATTATTTTTAAAAATACGGAACGCGTTGCAGAAAACGCGTTGCCGGAGGCAACCGCCAGATTAAAAATTATTTTTTTGAGGAAACCGGAACGCGTTGCAGAAAACGCGTTGCCGGAGGCAACCGCCAGAATTAAAAATTATTTTTAAAAATACGGAACGCGTTGCAGAAAACGCGTTGCCGGAGGCAACCGCCAGATTAAAAATTATTTTTTTGAGGAAACCGGAACGCGTTGCAGAAAACGCGTTGCCGGAGGCAACCGCCAGATTAAAAATTATTTTTTGAGGAAACCGGAACGCGTTGCAGAAAACGCGTTGCCGGAGGCAACCGCCAGAATTAAAAATTATTTTTTAAAAATACGGAACACGTTGCAGAAAACGCGTTGCCGGAGGCAACCGCCAGATTAAAAATTATTTTTTGAGGAAACCGGAACGCGTTGCAGAAAACGCGTTGCCGGAGGCAACCGCCAGAATTAAAAATTATTTTTTAAAAATACGGAACACGTTGCAGAAAACGCGTTGCCGGAGGCAACCGCCAGATTAAAAATTATTTTTTGAGGAAACCGGAACGCGTTGCAGAAAACGCGTTGCCGGAGGCAACCGCCAGAATTAAAAATTATTTTTTAAAAATACGGAACACGTTGCAGAAAACGCGTTGCCGGAGGCAACCGCCAGATTAAAAATTATTTTTTGAGGAAACCGGAACGCGTTGCAGAAAACGCGTTGCCGGAGGCAACCGCCAGAATTAAAAATTATTTTTAAAAATACGGAACGCGTTGCAGAAAACGCGTTGCCGGAGGCAACCGCCAGATTAAAAATTATTTTTTTGAGGAAACCGGAACGCGTTGCAGAAAACGCGTTGCCGGAGGCAACCGCCAGAATTAAAAATTATTTTTAAAAATACGGAACGCGTTGCAGAAAACGCGTTGCCGGAGGCAACCGCCAGATTAAAAATTATTTTTTTGAGGAAACCGGAACGCGTTGCAGAAAACGCGTTGCCGGAGGCAACCGCCAGAATTAAAAATTATTTTTAAAAATACGGAACGCGTTGCAGAAAACGCGTTGCCGGAGGCAACCGCCAGATTAAAAATTATTTTTTTGAGAAAACCGGAACGCGTTGCAGAAAACATGCGGGCCGAAGGCCCGCATGTTTATTTATGACCTAAATGTAAAAAATTTATAACTTTTGAAGTATTAGTTATAGAAAGATGGTTGAGGTGTCATTCGATGCGGAATTGAATGAGGAGTTGAATGAAAATATTTTCAAAGGTGTCACTTGAGTCTGAGAACGGACATTTGAGTCTGAAGATTATAAATACTGGGAAATTAACGGAAATTGCTTTATTTAAATTGTAATAACGCTGGAGTCAGCCTTTATACCCAAAAGCTATTAAAACTACTCAGCAATTCGCGCCGAACGCTGGTTTATCTATATATAACAGTAAAAAGGCACTCAGCTAAAAAAAAGTCCCCAGAGCTTTTGAGTGGGTGTAAAGGGGTGGGGTTTTTTGCTATAGATGCGCAATACAATGTAGTTTTCAGGAAAAATCCGAAAAGTGGGGGGAAAGGGGCGAATTTTTTAGATATTTTGAAAAAACGTGTTTTTTCGAATCTTTGAAGTGAAATTTGAGTATGAAGACGAAGTCGGGGAAAGTTGGGTCAGTTACAAGGTATCATCTAGAGCATATTTCGAATATGATAGAAAAAGAGTTGAAGTCGTTCTGACAACGGGAAGGGTAGATATGCTGTTTACAAACTTTTATGTCAAAGTGGTAACTTTGGATTTAAGGTATTTAGAGGGGTCTGATCAAAAAGTGTTTGGGAGAAAAGTTGTAGAGCGTGGTGGATTTCATAAGAAAAAAGTTTGTTTCAAGTTGATTGGATTAACAGAAAAAAAGATATGGAGTAAAAAGCGCATTTTTGAGGAGGTTGCATAAAAGTGACATTAACTATATCTTATTTTGGAGTTAGAAGAAAAGTGTTGGGAGATGAAAGATAGAGAATTAAATTCTGCATCGAATAAGCTTTGTTTTATGTTAATTTGAGTTTTTTGCAACGAGTTATGAATTTTTTAAAAAATTAAAATTTTGGGAAAAAATTTTTAAATTTGACGATCTAGACCGTCCGATCTGGAAAGTTAAGCAACGGTGAGGCGTTTTTTGTAACTTTTGAAGTAGTTATTGGAAAAATATGATTGAAGTGTCATTCGACGTGGAAAAATCAGGCGAATTTTTTGAAAATATTTTTGAAGGGGTCACTTGAGTCTGAGGGTAGAATATTTGAGTCTTAAGGTAAAAATCAGTGGAACTGAATTTAAAAAATTCTGAAAATTAAAGGGAATATTAAAATGAGAATTTTTAAGAAAAAGGACACTTGAGTCTCATTTTAATTTTGAGTCTGGGACTGAAAATTTTTATAAAATTTTATAAAAATAAGGCAAATTAATTTATAAGTTAATTTTACGTTTAATTTAATTTAAAAAATTCGTAACACATTGCAGAAAACGCGTTGCCGGAGGCAACCGCCAGAATTAAAAATTATTTTTTGAGGAAATTGGAACGCGCTGCAGAAAACGCGTTGCCGGAGGCAAACGCCAGAATTAAAAATTATTTTTTGAGGAAATTGGAACGCGTTGCAGAAAACGCGTTGCCGGAGGCAGCCGCGAGAATTTAATTCTATTTTAAAAATAAGGGATGCGTTACAATAAACGCATTACCCGTTTGTAAAAAATACGGGGCCGAAGGCCCCGTATTTTTGACCGCTAATTTAATAATATTAGCGAGCAAAAATTAAATGCGGGCCGAAGGCCCGCATAATTATTTTTAAATTTTTTGAGTTTTTTCATAAAATTGTAACTCATGATGTATTAGTCATAGAAAGATGGTTGAGGTGTCATTCGATGGGGAATTGAATGAGGAGTTGAATGAGGATATTTTCAAAGGTGCCACTTGAGTCTGAGGGTTGGACATTTGAGTCTGAAGTTTTCAACTAGTGGGAAATTGATCCAAATTAGTTTAAACGAGTTGTAATAACGCTAGAGTCAGCCTTTATACCCAAAAGCTATTAAAACTACTCAGCAATTCGCGCCGAACGCTGGTTATCTATATATAATAGTAAAAAGGCAGTCAGCTAAAAAAAAGTCCCCAGAGCTTTTGAGTGGGTGTAAAGGGGTGGGGTTTTTTGCTATAGATGCGCAATACAATGTAGTTTTCAGGAAAACCTCCAAAAGTTGGGGTCCAATGGAGAAAAAATTAGATATTTTGAAAAAACATGTTTTTTCGAAACTTTGAGGTCGGAAATGAGTATGAAGACGATGTCGGGGAAAGTTGGGTCAGTTACAAGGTTGAAGCACCACAACATGGAGAATATGATAGAAAAAGAGTTGAAGTCGTTCGGACAACGGGGAGGGTAGATGTGCCTGTTGACAACTTTTTTGTCAAAGTGGTACCTAAGGATTTAAGGTGTTTAGAGGGGTCTGAGCAAACAGTGGTTGGGAGAAAAGTTGTAGAGCGTGGTCGGTTTCTTAAGAAAAAAGTTTGTTTCAATTTGATTGGATTAACAGAAAAAAAGATATGGAGTAAAAAGTGCATTTTTGAGGAAAATGTATAAAGTTGACCTTAACTATATTTTGTTTTGGAATTAGACAAAAAGTGTTGGGAGATGAAAGATAGAGAATTTAATTCTGCATCGAATAAGCTTTGTTTTATGTTAAAATGAGTTTTCTGCACCGAGTTATGAATTTTTTAAGAAATAAAAATTTTGGGAAAAAATTTTTAAATTTGACGATCTAGACCGTCCGATCTGGAAAGTTAAGCAACGGTGAAGCGTTTTTTGTAACTTTTGAAGTAGTTATCGGAAAAATATGATTAAGGTGTCGTTCGATAGGCAAAAATAAATGGAATTTTTTAAAAATATTTTTGAAGGGGTCACTTGAGTCTGGGGGTGTGATATTTGAGTCTGAAGGTGAAAATCAGTGGAAATTAATTTTAAAAATTCTAAAAATTAGTGTTAATATTAAAAAATGAATTTTTACTAAAAAGGACACTTGAGTTTCATTTATAACTTTCAGTCTGAAACTGAAAATTTTGTAAAAATGCTAATTTTTAATACTTTTCTGAAAAATAATTTTAATGTTATTCGCGATGCCTTGAACGCGTTGCCGGAGGCAACCGCCAGAAATTAAAAAATATTTTTTCAGAAACGGAACGCGCTGCAGAAAACGCGTTGCCGGAGGCAACCGCCGGAAATAAAAATTATTAAAATTCGGAACGCGTTGCAGATAACGCGTTGCCGGAGGCAACCGCCGGAAATAAAACTTTTTTTTTTTAATTCGGAACGCGTTGCAGATAACGCGTTGCCGGAGGCAACCGCCGGAAATAAAAATTATTTTTTAAAATTCGGAACGCGTTGCAGATAACGCGTTGCCGGAGGCAACCGCCGGAAATAAAAATTTTTTTAATTCGGAACGCGTTGCCGGAGGCAACCGACGAAAATAAAAATATTTTTTTAAAAATTCGGAACGCGTTGCAGAAAACATGCGGGCCGAAGGCCCGCATGTTTTTTATGAGTTAAATTCAAAAGTTTATAACTTTTGAAGTATTAGTCGTACAAATATGCTTGAGGTGTCATTCGATTGAGAATTGAATAAGGAGTTGAATGAAGATATTTTCATAGGTGTCACTTGAGTCTGAGAACGGACATCTGAGTCTGAAGATTATAAATACTGGGAACTTAACGGAAATTGCTTTATTTAAATTGTAATAACGCTGGAGTCAGCCTTAATACCCAAAAGTAATCAAACGGACTCAGCAATTCGCGCCGAACGCTGGTTATCTATATATAATAGTAACAAGGCACTCAGCTAAAAAAAAGTCCTCCGGAAGTTTGAGAGGTCGTAGAGGGGTGGGGTTTTTTTCTATAGGTGGGAAATTTAATGTAGTTTTCAGGAAAAATCCGAAAAGTTGGGAGAAAGGGGCGAATTTTTTAGATATTTCGAAAAAACGTGTTTTTTCGAAACTTTGGAGTGAAATTTGAATATAAAGATGAAGTCGGGGGAAGTTGGGTCAGTTACAAGGTTGAAGCACCACAACATGTAGAATATGATAGAAAAAGAGTTGAAGTCGTTCGGACGACGGGGAGGGTAGATGTGCCTGTTGACAACTTTTTTGTCAAAGTGGTAACTAAGGATTTAAGGTGTTTATCGACGAGATAGAAAAAAGTTGTTGGGAGAGAAGTTGTAGAGCATGTTGGGTTTCTTAAGAAAAAAGTTGGTTTCAAGTTGATTGGATTAAAAGAAAAAAAGATATGGAGTAAAAAGTGAATTTTTGAAGAGAATGTGTAAAAGTGACCTTAACTATGTTTTATTTCAGAGTTAGACGAAAATTGTTGGGAGATGAAAGATAGAGAATTAAATTCTGCATCTAATAAGCTTTGTTTTATGTTAATTTAATTACCGAAATCTGACATGATCGAGCCGAGTTACAGGCTTTCGAATATTGAAAACCATAGGGGGACCAAGCTGTTTTTGAATTAAAAATTCAAAAATGAGGTTAATAGAGCATTCGAAAGAATAGCCGAGATGCGTCGACTGACACCAACAACACCGAAATCAGACTTGATCAGGCCGAGTCGAATGGCTTCTAAAAATTGAAAACCATAAAGAGGGCCACGCTATTTTCGGATTTAAAATTCGGAAATTAGAATAATAGCTCATTTGTTAACATTTATATATTTACAAAATCTTTCAGTATCAGACTGAGAGTTATAAGTGAGACTCAAGTGTCTTTTTTACTAAAAATTTATTTTTTAATATTCTTATTAATTTTTAGAATTTTTTAAATTCATTTCCACTGATTTTAGCCTTCAGACTCAAATATTCCACCCTCAGACTCAAGTGACCCCTTCAAAAAATTTTCAAAAAATTCGCTTGATTTTTACACGTCGAATGACACCTCAATCATATTTTTCCAATAACTACTTCAAAAGTTACAAAAAACGCCTCACCGTTGCTTAACTTTCCAGATCGGACGGTCTAGATCGTCAAAATTAAAAAGTTTTCCCCAAAATTTTAATTTTTTTAAAAAATCATAACTTTTTCAAAAAAAGTCGAAAAAGCATAAAACAAACCTTATTCGATGCAGAATTTAATTCTCTATCTTCCATCTTCCAAAACTTTTTTGCTATCTCCAAAACAAAATATAGTTAAGATAACTTTACACATTCTCCTCAAAAATGCACTTTTTACTCCATATCTTTTTTTCTGTTAGTCCAATCAACCTGAAACCAACTTTTTTCTTATGAAACCCACAACGCTCTACAACTTTTCTCCCAACCACTTTTTGCTCCCATTCCTCTAAACACCTTAAATCCAAAGTTACCACTTTGACATAAAAGCTTGTAAACAGCACATCTACCCTTCAAGTTGTCAGAACGACTTCAACTCTTTTTCTATCATATTCGAAATATGCTCTAGATGATACCTTGTAACTGACTCAACATTGCCCGATTTCGTCTTCACATTCAAATTTCCCATCAAAATTTCGCAATTTCATGTTTTTTCGAAATATCTAAAAAACTCGCCCCTTTCCCCCAACTTTTGGAGGTTTTCCTGAAAACTACATAGTATTGCGCATCTATAGCAAAAAACCCCACCCCTCTACGACCTCTCAAACTTCCGAAGGACTTTTTTTTAGCTGAGTGCCTTTTTACTATTATATATAGATAACCAGCGTTCGGCGCGAATTGCTGACATGTAAATAAGCTTTTTGGGTATAAAGGCTGACTCCAGCGTTATTACAGTTAAAATAATTCAATTTGGGTTAATTTCCCAGTAATTGAAAATTTCAGACTCAAATGTCCATTCTCAGACTCAAGTGACACCTTTGAAAATATTTTCATTCAACTCCTCATTCAATTCCCCATCGAATGACACCTCAATCATCTTTCTATGTCTAATACTTCAAAAGTTATAAATTTTTACATTTAAGTCATAAAAAACATGCGGGCCTTTGGCCCGCATGTTTTCCTGCCTCCGACAACGCGTTCCGAATTTAAAAAAATATTTTTAATTTCTTGCGGTTGCCTCCGGCAACGTTATCCCCGTCTATTAAAACCTATTATGGCCAAAAATTAGAAAATTTTCTCAAAAAAAATTTACAAAAATTTTTCAAAGGGGTACCCCTTATTAAATATTTCCGAAAAACTTTGATCTACCATAACTTTGTGAGTTATGGTCCAATGCGAACCAAACAAAAATATTAAATAGAGTAAAAAATTAGAAATTTTTTAATGTACAAAAATTTCTGAAAAATTTAAGGTTAGAGGGTCTAAGTGTCGATTTTTTGAAAAATCATAAATTTTTGGTTTTTTCAAAATTTAAACGGGTATAAGCAGTGTAGGTTTTTGATTAATTTTTTAAAATAAAGCCAGATTTTATACACATAATAAACTTTAAACTTTTCCAAAATCCCAAAAACAAACGAAGTTATGATTTTTCAAAAAATTTTTTGAAAAAATCGAGCAAAATTTTTGGCCGAAATCTCAACTTTACCAAAAATTTTAAAACCTGCCCAAATTATATATCAAATGTAAGCACTTAATGAGCTGAGTATAAAAATAAAATCAGAAAAAATTTCTGACCATTTTGTACAAATTTATGAGTGACCAAATCTTGGGTCTCCACAACTTCAGGCCATGAGTGAAACTTTTTGGCCTCTAACTTGGAGGAAAAATTTTTTTAAATAAACGGACAACGGATCCGTTATCAACGATCATTAAAACCTATTATGGCCAAAAATTAGAAAATTTTCTTGAAAAAAATTTACTCAAAATTTTTCAAAGGGTTACCCCTTATGAAATATTTTGGAAAAATTTAAATCGGCCATAACTTTGTGAGTTTTGCTCTGATTCAAACCAACTTCGAATTATTAAATAAAGAAAAAATTAGAAATTTTTTGATATTAAAAAATTTCTGAAAAACTTAAAGTTTGGGGGTCTTAGGGTCGATTTTTTGAAAATTCAAAAATTTTCAGTTTTTTCAAAATTTAAAGGGGTATGACCAGTGCAGGTTTCTGATTATATTTTTATTAAATAGAGACTGATTTTATACACAGATTTTCATTTCAATTCTTCGATTAATTACGCATTTATTCCCCATTCAATTTACAAATCAATGTCTCATTCAATTTGAAAATTGGTCCCTATACTGTATGTAAAATCTGGAAATAAACAAGTCTATAGCATTTAAAAAAGACATCATCCGACCAAGGCTATATTTAATCAGACGCAATTGCATCCGAAAAAATCCCTTGATCGGTATTCAAGTCATATAAACGTATTTTGCGCCCCGACAGACACCTGCACTTGCGTGCTAAGGCTTTAGCAACCTGCTACCAATCATAGTAGAAGGAGAATGCCATATGCTGGGGCTTTTAAACCTTAAAGGTATAAATAAAATTCTCCAACATCGAGAAAATTTTTTTCATTTTCTTTCCTTCCGTACTAGGCAGAACTATCACCATTTTTCGTTTCTAATTCTGACTCTTCACATACTTAAACGAATTCTAATGGATCCCTGGAAATACTAAGACTCCATAAAGTAAAACCTACTAAAACAAAAAACTTTTCGAATAAAAATTTACTAAAAACAAAAAAATCGATATTTTAACAAAACAAAATATTTTTAAATATTATTCATTCCATGGTTCATCAGGGACATCGTGTAAAATGTTCATCAACAAATTCAGATTTATCTGTCTTTGTTGTTCATCCATGGGGTGCTGAATATAATATTAACGATTAAATAAAAATCAAAATACCATATAGATGGGTCTATAATGAGATCCACTTCGCCTAAGCACAATTACATCGATCATATTAAGTTGGCGCAACACGTCAAAAATTTGACTGTATTCGGTGAATCGAGCAAGACCCTAATTAAATATTATGTAGCCAATGATTAAATATTTACCAAATCAGCAATGTTTATTTCATGATTTCCCAGAAAAATTGCTTCATAAACTCCGTCAAGTTCCCGCCATGCATTTCCGACTAATTCTCTCCGGTTTTCCACAATCATTATATTCCTGTTCAGTACAATTTCTGCATATCGAACTTCAAGATGTGAGCCCCATCGTGTATCATCATAATTTGACGAGTGCATCATATGGATGCTATAACGTCTTAAAGAGGCTCTTAGATTAAGCTCATCTAAGAGCAACCCAGCTCTCTGAATATGTTCTGCGTTCCATTCTACCTCATTAACTAATATTGCCACTTCTTCATCTGTAGCTCTCGCAATATCACGCTGATAACTGCGAGCTATTAGTCTTCTAAGAATTTGTTGTTGATCATTTTGTAGATCTTGTTGTTCAGATCCACCATGCAGTGCTCTAATTATAGATCTAAAGAGGCAGTCACCATCTCCAATTACATTATCAAGAAGAGCACGTGGTATATTCAAATTTTCACTATGTGCATTGTCACAAATATTTTCAATATGATCTTGTTGTATACTATGCTTAGCAGTAATACGTAATTGACTTTTAGCCTAAAACAGATAATGATGCTAATTAAAAAGTTCAACCTTTTCCAATGAATCCTTATAAAGAAGTTCATCGTTTCTTGACGGTACTACCAAAAATATCTTTGACAATTTAGGCAAATAATCTTCATTTCGCGAAATCCAGCCTAATAACGATTCAACAATTATTTTTGCTGCTTCACCTCTAGGATATAAAAATGCCCCACAAGGAAAGGACTAAAAATAAATAATATATTAATACTTTTAAAATTACTATTGACGTAAAGTCCTTTTCTCTCATTATATCCAATGCTTTTGAACAGCATGCTGTCAAAGCTAATTTATCTTCATTTGTGCTACGACTCCCAATCACTTGTGGAGCAAACATGTGAACAATTACTAAAATTCATTAAATACAGCTTTTGTCAATAAAAATTTTAATAAAAACCTTTTGCAATCTTCTGTAGTTCGCCGAATGTTTCAGAATGAATTACGTCTCCATAATTCATAACTCCGATATTCTCAATTATAGATTGCATTGCTTCTAATAGCATGTCCATTTCTGGTTGACA